CAAGTGGCCAGCTCGCCTAGCGCGACCGACGTGCCGCCAGACCGCCAGCCAGGCCGAGACGACGGGCGGCGACGAGGCATCGACGGGGCGGCAACGGCGAGCAAGGAGCCGCCAGATCGACAGGTTCGGGGGAGCTGTCTCATTCGCGACAACGCCCGTGACGGCCCCTCCCCCTTCTGGTAATGCCACGACGACGCGAATTCATGCTGTCGTAGAGTCGACGGAAAATCCATCGGAGATCCACGAATCTATCAACATTCTACGCATTTGTTTCGTAAGCCGCGGGGCTTCATTTTGGGTTATGATGTTCCTATCGTACTGAAAGGGCCACATCCCAGAAATAATTTCGAGCACCCAGAAAAGTGTCGAGACAGTGTCGAACGAGTATCGCCTCCCAGGGCCCGACACGTGAACCCCCCCCCCAGTTTCGGTCCTTTCTTGGTGCTCGACATACTTTCTGGTGGTCAAGGCCAAAGTAGGCTGGAACATCATAAATTTTGGGACGCATCAATTCTGCAATCGCTCCCCCACTCGAAAATCCTTGGTGCCTCACAGTCCCAGCCTCGGGGGCCCTGAGCTCGTCTCCCGCGCGGCCATGAGCTGCGCGCCGGCTCGGAAGGTCGCCGGGGGCTGGCCTGCTGGCCCGACGGGGTGTGCCCGCCCCCCCTCCCCCTCTCCTGCGAGGCAGGGGCCCCGTCGAGCGGGTGGCAGTCGGGGGTGACCTTCGAAGGGAGGCGAAGAGAACGGCACGACAAGAGCCTTTTGGGGCCCCCTTTGGGAGCCGGCAGGGGCCCGAAAGGGACCCTCTGAAGGGCCCCTTTCGGGCCCCTGTCTTCACCCTCCATTTCTGGATGCTCATTCTGAGGACCTTCCTGGAGGCACTCGCTCCTCTCGTGCGACGAAGCTGCGTCGAACGTCCGTCGACTCGAGCCGACACTGAGTCGAACCCGTGCCGAACTTGAGTCGAACTTGAGTCGAACTTGAACCGAACTTGAGCCGAACTGGGGTCGAACTGGAGCCGAACTGGAGCCGAACTGGAGCCGGAGCCGAACAGATCCGTGAGGTGTGCCCCAAGAAGGTTCCCAAAACACGCATTCAAACCATTTGGTCCCCGCCCCACCCGAGGTGCGGAGGATGATGAGGAGGAGGAGGAGCAGGAGGAGGAGGACGAGGAGGAGGAGGAAGAGGAGGAGGAGAGGAGGGGGAGGAATAGGGGGAGGAAGAGGAGGAGGGGGAGGAGGGGCACAACTCCTCCTCTCCTCCTTCCTCCTCCTCCTCCTCATGCTGTTCCTCCTCCTGCTCCGCCTGCTCCTCCTCCTCCTCCTCCTACTCCTCCTCCTCCTCCTCCTCCATTTGAGCCTGGCCCGGAACTCGGACGGAACGGGTCTCTCTCGATCCCGGCGGCGTCTTGCCTCCGACTGGCCTCCAGGGCCTCTGGGGTGCCCTCGCGCGGCCGCCCGCCTCAGAAGATCTCTCCCGGGGGGCCGCCCTGGGGGGGGGCGCCTCTTTTGGGGGCCTCTCGGGCCGTCTTGGGGCCCTCCTGGGCCGTCTTGGAGCGTCGGAGGGACTCGGCCTCGCTCGGACGTGCGCAGTTTTTCTCGGCGAGGACCCCCGAGGAGGATCTTGGCTTGAGTCGGGCCTGTCCCTCTACAGGAGGAAAGTTCAAACATAGTCAAACAGACATCGCCTGGGGACGTTGTTTTTGTTTCAAAAATGAAATATGTTTGGACTATGTTTGATTGTTCGTCCAAAATCCGCCTGTCGGGGGGCAGTCCCGATCTGAATCTTGGATCTGGCAACAATCGAAGACAAAACGCCATCAGCACAAACTTGTGGCGCTCCGCGCGGATTCCTCGGATCTGCGCCGGGCCCCCCCCGGCGGCGCCTCCGGGGCCGCCCCTGGCGCGCTCCTCTCCGTCGAAGGGTTGTTGATGGGCCTGCTTTCCACCACCACCACCACCATAAGTTGGAGGGAGAGGGGGTCCTCCTCCTCCTCCTCCTCCTCCTCCTCCTCCTTCCCCCCATCCACCTTATGGTGGTGGTGGTGGTGGAAACTTCTGCTGGTCGAAGGTTTGTGCTCGTGTCGCTTCTGTCTCCCCTGCAAGAGTGGAGCGCGCACGCAGCCGAAGCACGCACGGGGGATGGCCGCCCGAGCGAGGGCACCGAGAGGCCCGCGGCCGCCCGGGCACCCCCTCGCGAGGACCCTCTGGGGACGATGTTTCGACTAAGTTTGACTTGTTTGGGGTATGTTCTGACAATGTTTTATTTTTCGTCCAGAATCCGCCTGTAGGAGGACATTCTTGGACCTAACCCCAAGGGGGCCCAGGCAGGTCCACACCCGCCGCCCCCTGAGGTCCCGGGACACGTCGGTTCCCCCGGCGGGGGGTACGGTTACAGCCAGCTCCCGCACAGTAAGCAAAGGAGGAAGAGCCACCCCGACCCCGAGAATTGGAGTTGATCGGACATGTCCTTCTACAGGAGGAGTATCAAAAAATAATCAAAACAAAGTTTTGATACCTTATTTTCGAATATGCTTGACTACGTTTGAATATGTTTTGACATTTGTTTTATTTCTTCATCCAAACTCCGACTGTAGGAGGGCATTCCCGACCGAAGTATAGTAATCAAGGGAGGAAGAGCCACCCCGACCCCGATAACTGGAGTTTACTGAACGGTCCTGGGCGTTTACTGAGCAGCCCTGCCCTGTGGCGTTTACTGAAAAGCCTGCCCTGTTCGATTATTTCGTTGGGTGCGTCTACTGAGTTGCCTCGCTGCTCGGGGTGTTGTTTGTGTGTGTGTGTGTGTGCGTGTGTGAGTATGTGTGTGTGTGTGTGTGCGTGTGTGTGTGTGTGTGTCTGTGTGTGTGTCTGTGTGTCCGTGTGTGTGTGTGTGTGTGTGTGTGTCTGTGTGTGTGTGTCTGTGTGTGTGTGTGTGTCTGTGTCTCTGTGTCTGTGTGTGTCTGTGTGTGTGTCTGTGTGTCCGTGTGTCTGTGTGTGTGTGTCTGTGTGTGTCTGTGTGTGTGTCTGTGGAGCGCCAAAACCTTACGGCGTTTCTTCTTCTTCGAGGGGAGTGAGAAGGGGCGGGCACTTCCCAGAAGGCTCGGACGTCCCCCGGCCTTCTGAGAAGTTCTCTAAACCCTCCCCGAAGATGCAGAGCACTTCTCGGAAGGCGCGAGGGGGCTTCCGAGAAGTCCCACCGCTCACGTCGCAGGCACTCTCCCGGGCGATGTTTCCAGCGCGCGGCCGCAGAGCCTCGGCCCACTCCAGGGGGGGGGGCAGCTTTCCGCCACGGGTCCGTCTGCCATGGCCCTCGAGCTCCAAGAGCACGTCCGAGATCGGCGGTGAGCCCCGGGGGGAAAGAGCGAGGAGGAGCAGGCCTTCCCGGAAGGCTCGGAAGTCCGCCGGCCTTCTGAGAATGTTTGCTTCGCTCTTTTCCCGACGGCACAGAACACCTCTCCGAAGGCCCGGGGCCTAATGAGAAGTCTCGCCGCCTTCCGAGAAGGCCTTCTCCTTCTCGCTCCCCCCCCCTCGCTCGCCGCCGACAAGAGGGAGCCAAGAGGCACACACCTGTGATGTCTTTTTCCGGTGTCTGAAGGATTGTAGCGTCCTCGCCTCTGTCTGGGCCTCCAGATGGGGTCGGAGGATCGCGCCGCATCGCCGATGCATCTACGATGCGGCTCGACGCGGAGCCCGATCTTCTCCACGCCGACGTCGCCGATGCGTCGCCGACGTCGGCGCGATCCTCCGACCCCATCTATTCGGGCCCCATCGAGGAGGCCTAGAGTTCAACCTTCCAAGACCCCCGATCTACGACGCATCCTTCTCCTTCTCGCTCCCCCCCCCTCGCTCGCCGCCGACCTGCGACCCCATCTCGACCCATTCTGCAGTGGGGCCCTCGGGCCCTCGCGAGGGGGTACGAGTTATGTGAAGGTGCGCGTGGAAGCGTGCCTGGCTGCGCTTCAGAATAGCTTCAGGAGGGCTCCCCAAAGCTCGCCAGGAAAGCCTTTCGAGTGAGGGCCTCTTCGCTTTCCAGTGTGGGTGCCTTGTAGATCTCTTCGGCATCGATGAGCTCGAGAAATTCCGGCCCTGGAGGGGAGGCCGCAGGCCTCTCGGTGCCCTCGCTCGGGCGGCCGTTCCCGTGGTGCGTGCTCCGCCTTCGTGCGCGCGCTCCACTTCTGCAGGGGAAACAAAAACGACACAAACACACAAACAAACACAAATTTTCGACCAGCAGAAGTTTCCACCACCACCACCACCATAAGTTGGATGGGGGGAAGGAGGAGGAGGAGGAGGAGGAGGAGGAGGAGGAGGAGGAGGAGGAGGAGGAGGAGGAGGAGGAGGAGGAGGAGGAGGACGACCCCCTCTCCCTCCAACTTATGGTGGTGGTGGTGGTGGAAAGCAGGCCCATCAACAACCCTTCGACGGAGAGGAGCGCGCCAGGGGCGGCCCCGGAGGCGCCGCCGGGGGGGGCCCGGCGCAGATCCGAGGAATCCGCGCGGAGCGCCACAAATTTATGCTGATGGCGTTTTGTCTTCGATTGTTGCCAGACGATCCAAGGTTCAGGTCGGGACTGCCCCCCGACAGGCGGATTGTGGACAAACCATTGAAAACAGTCCAAACATATTTCATTGTTCAACAAAGAGCGTCCCCAGGCGATGTCTTTTTGACTATGTTTGAACTTCCCTCCTGTAGAGGGACAGGCCCGACTTAAGCCAAGATCCTCCTCGGGGGTCCTCGCCGAGAAAAACTGCGCACGTCCGAGCGAGGCCGAGTCCCTGGACAGAGCTCGGGCTACCTGCCCGTGGGCTGGGGGGCAGCCTCTGGCAACCTCCGAGGCTAAGAGCCCGGACCTCGGCGTCATGCCGCTGGGCCGCGTCGGCGAGCTCCCGCGAGCTGCCCTCCAGACTCCGCTGCAGCCCGGCGCTCCTGCAGGGCGGCGAGAGCTGTACGCGTCCACTGCTCGCGTAAGACGAAGCCAAGGCGAGGCCAAGCTCGGGCGAAGATACACGGGGAATATATGAGATCTCGCGGCCCTGGAGGGTGTCTCAGGCGCCGCGACCTTCTCAGAACTTTCCGGAGCGCGCCGAGAGCGTTCCGGAACGCTCTGGAACGGACTTGTCCTCGTCCTGGCCCCGTCCGAGAGGAGGAGGAGAAGGAGAAGGAGGAGGAGGAAGATGAGGGGGAGAGGAGGACGAGGAGGAGGAGGAGGAGGAGGAGGGAGGAGGAGGAGGAGGAGGAGGAGGAGGAGGAGGAGGAGGAGGAGGAGGAGGAGAGGAGGAGGAGGGGAGGAGGAGGAGGAGGAGGAGGAGGAGGAGGACGAGGAGAAGGAGGAGGAGGAGGAGGAGGAGGAGGAGGAGGAGGAAGAGGGGGGGGAGGAGGAGGAGGAGGAGGAGGAGGAGGAGGAGGAGGAGGAGGGAGGAGGAGGAGGAGGAGGAGGAGGGGAGGAGGGGAGGAGGAGGAGGAGGAGGAGGAGGAGGAGGAGGAGGAGGAGGAGAGGAGGGGGAGGAGGAGGAGGAGGAGGAGGAGGAGGAGGAGGAGGAGGAGAAGGAGGAGGAGGGAGGAGGAGGAGGAGGAGGAGGAGGAGGGGCGGGAGGAGGATTTCCCCTCATCCTGGCCCTGCCCGATCCTGGCCGGGCCCACCCTGGGTCGACCCCAGCGCTTGTTTGCCAGACAGGAACAAATGAAAGGCGACACCAACACCACAAGGGCGAGGCGACGCGAGCAGACAAAGGCTATGATGTCCCAACCTACTTCAGCCTTGATCACATGGCAGAATTTCGAGCACCAAAAAATGACCGAAACTCGAGGGTTTCCACATGTCGGGCCCTTGGAGACGCTCGTCCGACACTGTTTCGACACTCTTCCGGGTGCTCGAAATTATTTTTGGGACGTGGTTCTTAAGTACGATGGGAGCAACATAAGTCAAGGGGTGTCTCCCTCTCGCTCGAGACATCCCCAGCCTCCAGCTCGGGGAGGCATCGTGGACCTCCTCGCTGGAGGTGGCCCCCCTGGTGGTGTTGGTGTCGCATCTCCTCCCTCTGACCAGGTTTCCTGCGACATGACTTGTCCAATCTGGCGCCCCAGAACTCCCGACCTGCCCCGGAGGCCGAAATCGGGAAGAACCGCCAGCTTGAAAAAATCACATCCTCGGAGATCTGTGTCCGCGTCGACCGTTCAACCTTGAGCGGTCGGCGGCGTTTCGATGGCCAGATCGTTCCGTACTAGCCCATTATGTCGGGCCCTCCTAGATGGGGTCGGCATAGATGGTTCGGAGGATCGCGCCGCATCGCCGATACATCGACGATGAATAATTAGTCGATGTATCGGCGATGCAACAGCGATGCATCGTCGACTTCGGCGATGCATCGGCGACGTCGACGTGAAGCAAATCGGGCTCCACATCGAGCCGCATCGGCGATGCATCGGCGATGAGGCACGATCCCCCGACCCCATTTACTCGGACCCCATCTAGGAGGCCTAGAGTTCAACCTTCCCAGACCCCCAACGTCAAGATTGCCAAGGCCTTACGGCAGGTGCCGCCGACCCTGAAGACGACGACGACGAATACGAGGAGGAGGAGGGGGATTGAGGTGGAAGGGCGCAGGCGAACGCGAAGGAGATGTTCCCCACGTGGGCCGAGGGAGTCGTAGCAGAGACAGACAAGGAGCCTTGTGGCCTGCGGCCATTCCCGCCACCGTGCTGGGGTTGTGGTTTTAAAAGCCTCTTGGATGTTTTCGGGCCTGTTCGGGCCTCTGGTGGGCCTCTTGGGGGTTGCTTGGGGGCCTCTTCGGGCCCCTTAAGGGGCTCTTGGGGCCTTCCGGGGGCTTCTTGGGGCGGAAAGCTCGAAATGTCGATTCGTGGTCCTCATCGGCCCGGGAGAGCTCGGCGGCGCGCGATGATGGGGGGAAACTGGGGACCTCGTGGGGCCCGCCTTGGGGCCTTTTGGGGTTTCCTGAGGCCTCCTTGAGGGCCTCTTCTTGGAGGCTTCTTGGGGGCCTCTTGGCCCCGAGGGCTCGAAGTGTCCGTTCGCGTCCCCGTCTGGGCACGCTCTTGGAGCACTCCTGCGGGTTGCTTGGGCCGTTCTGGAGGCGTCTTGAGCTGTCTTAGGCTGCTCTTGGGCATGTGTGGGACTCTCTTAGAGACCACAGGGGCCGTCTCGAGGTGTTCTTGCAAGCCTCTTGGGCCCGTTTGGATCGTCGGGAAGAGGAAGAGGCCAGAAAGCCCAAATCGTTCCAAGACGGATAGGACATCAATGAATGTTGCCTCATGGGGGCCGTCTTGGGAATGATCCTGGATGCTTCTGGGGGCGTCTTGCACGCATCTCGACCCGTCTGGAAGCCGTGAAGGCGTCTTGGACAGATCGTTCGGCGATTCGGGGCACTCTTGGACCTTCTTGGGGGCCTCTTAGGGCACTCTTGGTGCTTTTTTGGGCTCCGGGACGCCCAGGGGCAGATGCGTATCTGACCCCCCCCACCGGCCCCCCCCCGGGCCCCCCCCGGGACCCCCCCCATCGGCAGGGGAGGGAACAAAGGGAAGGGGCTTCCCTTCGACTTAAGTACGACATTGCTACCGTTTTCTCTCGCTGGCAGGCTCGAAGAGGAGGGTGCAGGGAAATGGGATGACGGAGACGCAGGGAAGGAGGACAACGGATGCGTCGACTGAGCGCACGCCGACATGGGGTCCACACGCCGACAGGGTCGGCTGATCTTTTCATAACGTTGACCCTCAAGGATCTCGACCCATTCCCCAGGACTGGCTTTTCATCCTGAGTCGTTTTTGACGTCCCGAGGCTAGGTAAGGACCTCCCGAAGCCGCAAATCCGCCGACCCTGTCGGCGTGTGGACCCCCTGCAGGCGTGCGCTCAGTCGACGCATCCGCTGTCCTCCTTCCCTGCGTCTCCGTCGTCCCCTTTCTCTGCACCCTCCTCTTCAAGCCTGCCAGCGAGAGAAAACCGTAGCAACGTCGTACTTAAAGCGAAGGGCAGCCCCTTCCCACGCGCCAAGAGGGCCCCAAGCAGGCCCAAGAAGAGGACCACGAACCGACATTTCGAGCTTCCCGCCCCAAGAAGTCCCCGGAAGGCCCCAAGAGCCCCTTAAGGGGCCCGAAGAGGCCCCCAAGAAACCCCCAAGAGGACCACCAGAGGCCCCACCAGGCCCGAAAACATCCAAGAGGCTTTTAAAACCACAACCCCAGCACGGTGGCGGGAAGGGCCGCGGGCCACAAGGCTCCCTGTCTGTCTCTGCTACGACTCCCTCGGCCCACGTGGGGAACATCTCCTTCGCCTTCTCCTGCTCCCTTCCACCTCAATCCCTCTCCTCCTCCTCCTCCTCCTCCTCCTCCTTCTCCTCCTCCTCCTCCTCCTCCTCGTATCCGTCGTCGTCGTCGTCTTCAGGGTCGGCGGCGCTGGCCGTAAGGCCTTAGCAGTATGGAAAAACCTCCCGTCGTGTTTTTTTCACTGCCCGAGGGGGGGTGCTCTGACTCGAGAGGCCGGCGGCGTTCCGATGGCCAGCTCGCTCCGTGTGCTGACCCGTCCCCGGCCACCGGCGGCGCTCCACCCTGGACGCCCACGCACGCCCGCTCAGGCCAAACTGCCGCCGCGCGGGCGCCTCTGCACAATCCTGCCGTGCACCGGCCCCCGGGCCCAGGATCAGGTCGAGGGTTAAGGGGGCCCAGAGGCACAGAAGCAACTTTTAGATCTGCGGGGCGAGAGCGAACCTCGTCCGCTAAAAGCTAGGCGGGCTATGCACAGCTTTAATTAGGGAGACAGGGCACAGGAAGGCGCGAGACACACAGACAGATAGACACGAACATCCCAGGATTCCCGATAAACGCGCACCGGCCCCCGGGCCCAGGATCAGGCCAAGGGTCAAGGGGCCCAGAGGCACAGAAACAATGTTTTGATCCACGGGTCGAGACCGCACCTCTTCCGGTCGAAGCTAAGCGGGCCGCGCGAAGCTCGAATTAACAAAGAGGGGGAGGAAAGGGGGAGCGCGCAGCCTCAGGGCGAGGCCGGGAGGAGGCAAAGCCTCGGGATCGGGCGGTGCCAAAGTCGGCGTGCTTGCAAAGGCGATGTCCCAGGATTCCCGAGAAACAGCCGACCCATAGCGTGAGGATGCGCGGTGAGGAGGCGAGGGCCTCGGAAGGCCACGTCGGCGCTTCGAAGGCGGGGGGGGCGCGGCCAGCGGAAGCGGCCGAGCATGGGCCGGAGGGCAAGGGTGCCGAGGGTTCAGCCTCGGAGAGTCGCTCATCCTTGCTGTGCCAGTCGGCTGTGCTTCCATGTCTCCTGGCCTCCCGTCTTCCCCCGCCCCCTCCCAGATCTTCCCAGGAGTTCCTGGGAATCGACGTTGACTTGTGTCTGTCTATCGTTTCCCCCTCCTGGTAATCGGCGGCGAGCACAGGGGGGAAGTGAGAAGGGGCGGGCCTTCTCAGAGAGCTCGGAAGTCCCCTAGCCTTCTGAGAAGTTTTCTAAGCCTTCCCCGAAGTCAGGGAAAACTGCTCAGAAGGCGCGAGGGCTTATGAGAAGTCCCGCTGCCTTCTGAGAAGGCCTTCTCCTTCTCAACTCCCCCCCTCGCTCGCCGCCGAAACAAGGTCCCCCAGGCATCTGGCTGGTTCCCCCGAAACAAGGTCCCCCCCTTCCGGTAAACACAGCTTGTCGGAGGTCCGTGCGGACTTCTCGGATCGGCGCTGGAGCCCCGCCCCTGCGCGCCAGGGGCGCCGCCGGAGAGAGGGGGGGGGGCCCAGCGCCGATCCGAGAAGTCCGCGCGGCCCTCAGACAAAATCACGTGTACACCCGTGCTTAGAGCTAGAAAACTCTGCGCTAAGAAAGTGGACTTCACTCAAAGCGGTTGCTTGATCAGCAGTCCAGATTCACGCATGCGAGCGTTCTACAAGGAAAGGAAGCTCCAAGGAAATTGCAAGAAGATGTACGCTCTTTCTTCAGATTTCTGATCGGCGTATGTTGGTCTCTTGTTGTCCTTGCCTGCCCAATGGCAGTGGATTCGTCTCGATCTCGTCTCGTGGGGCAAGAGCATATCCGTATCCGCGGCCTCGCGGGCTGGGCTCCTGGGCCACGACCCCGCGGACGCGGAGCGCTTTCTCGCGCATGCCCCGCGCGGAACGTATCCGCACGACCGCGCATCCACGGGATCACTGAAGGGGCCCCAGGACACACAAATAAATACACACAAATAAAAATACTCCCCATATTTTCCCATATTTTCTGGGTTTCTGTCTTCCCCCCCACGTCCCATGTTTTCCCATATTTTCTGGGGAATCGAAGATTAATTGTGTCTGTGTGTTTCCTTCCCTCCTGAATCGCGCCCCAGAATCCCAGAGGCGCAGCTGCTGGAGGGCACGCCGAGGCGGGCAAGCCGACGAGATGCCACGAGCACGCCCGAAGACCTCGAACCCTCGAACTCCCGCGATGCTCTGGGCACCCTCGAGCCCCAGAGAACGCCCGCAAACGTCGAAGCCTCGGACCCCTCGAGCCCTCGACACGATCTGGGCGCCTGGATGCGGTCGCCGCTCGTGACCGATCCCGCCCCTCTCGGCCCTGGCGAGGCCACGCCGGTGTGCGGCCCACACACTCGGGCCTCGGACGGCCGTTCGCCACGTTGTGGGTTCCCCCGGGAAGGCTCTCCGAAGTCGCGGCTGCCGGGGAGCACCCCGAGGCCGCAAAACCGGCGTGCTCCGACGAGAACGCCCGAAAGCCTCGAACTCTCGGGCCAGGCCCTCGTCGCCTGGACGTCATGGTTTTCCATGGCGTGGGCTCCCAGAGAAATCTCGAATCGGGTTTTCGTCCCGAGTCGTGTGTTCTGACGGCCCCGAGGCCCGGCGAGGGCCCCCCGGGGGCGAAACCTGCAAGAGCCACCCTGCGCACCCTGCTCTTTCCACTGCCCGAGCGAGTCCGGGGATCCTGCTCCTCTCGGCCTGCAGCTCCGCGCCGAGCGCCTGGGCCTCCCTGCCGTGCTGGGCGCGCAGCTCGCCGCTCGCCGCCCGCGCGCCCGCGAGCTCTGCCCGCAGGGCGGCCGCCTCGCCCTCGTGCTTGGTGAGGTTGGCGAGCTCCAGCCCCGCCCAGGACCGCACGGCCTGGGCGACGACGACGACGACGACGACGACGACGAAGACGACGCCGACGACGGCGGCGGCGGCGGCGAGGGCGACGAAGGCGACGAGGTGGGCGACGACGCCGGAGCTGCAGCCCCACCCAGGAGCCCGAGGCTCGAGAGCTCGAGGCTGGCGAAGTCGAGGCCCCAGACCCCCGCGGGTCATGGAGAACAACCACTGCGGGAGGTCTTGGTCATTTTTCGGCCTCGTGGGGCCCTCGCCGGCTCCTGGGACCGTCAATGAAGGGCTCGGGATCAAAAGCCCGTCCTGGGAGAGGGGTTGAGACCTCTGGGGGTCCACGCCATGAAAAGAGCATGACGTCGGGGGTCTGCGGCCCGAGGCTCGATTAGTCGAACCACAAGCTCTCGAGCCTCGATTCCTCGACCTCTTCCTCTGGGGAAGCCAACACGTACCGATACCGCTGCTCGCCGGACCTCTCCCAGGGTGCGTTCTGACCAGGATTCGGAAGCGAAGCCAGCGGTGCCCACCAAGGCCTCCCCCCGGCGGCCCAAGAAGGGGACAACGGGGGAAGGGCAGCAGTATGGGTGCCGTTTCTTCCTCGAACCCTCGAGCCCCGACTCCCCGAGCCCCGATTCCAGGACCCCCGATTCCACGAGTCCCGATTCCTCGAGCCGCGATTTTTGAGGCCCCGAACCCTCGGGCCCCGATCCCTCGGGACCCGACCCCTCGGGCCCCGATCCCTCGAGCCCCGACCCCTCGGGCCGCGATCCCTCGGGCCTCGGGTCGGCTTTACCCAAGCCTGCGCGGACAAGTTTTACTCTGGACACCTGAAAACCAACATGCGCAAGACTGGGCCACTACTTGGGCCACTGGTGCGGTAGCAGAGGAGACGAGCACCGCAGTGGCTCGCCCCAACGGGACGGCAATCCGATGCCTCCAATCGCGCAGCGGCGACCGCGCGCACCACGTGCCACGGAGATGGTCCTGGTACCAGGTGAGGCCAGCAAGCTGCTGCAGCAGACGCGACAGCTGGGCTGCTGCTGCTGAGGAGGAGGAGGCGGAGGAGTAGGAGGAAGCGGAGGAGGAGGAGGAGGAGGAGGAGGAGGAGGAGGAGGAGGAGGAGGAGGAGGAGGAGGAGGAGGAGGAGCAGGAGGAGGTTGCTGCTGCTGCTGCTGCTGCTGCTGCTGCTGCTGCTGCTGCTGCTGCTGCTGCTGCTGCGTGCGTCGCCCCGCCCCCTCCCCAGGAACGCACGTCCCCGGGGCTCGCGTGGCAGAGGCCCGCGTGGGAGCGAGGACTCGAGGCCCGAGCTTTTTCCTCTCGAGAGATCGAGGGCTCGAGGCACCGAGGGATCGGAGAGTCGAGGGACCGAGCCACCGAGGCATCGAGGGATCTGGGCTCGGGGCGTCGAGGAGCCGAGGCATCGAGGGCTCGAGGTTCGAGGGATCGAGGCATCGAGAAATCGAGGCATCGAGGAGCCGTGGCTCGAGGGCTCGGGACTCGAGGACTCGGGGCTCGAGGACTCGAGGCGCCGAGGGATCGACGAGGATCGAGGCTCGAGGCACCGAGCTTGGAGGCCCCCCAGGAGCGCACGGCCTGATGGGACGCGGGAGGCGAGTCTCGAGAAGCTCGGGGGGGCGCTACAAAACGGTGCCCCCGGCCCAAGATGCCCCCCTCAACTTCTCGCCGAATGCTGATAACCGGGGCCCTCTGATCGGGCGTCGGCAAGACTGGGTTTGGTGGGACCTGGTTTGGTGAGGTGTGCCGGGGGGCGCCCCCCCGCTGTCCGGAACTGCCGCCGCCCGAAAAACAAACACCAGCTGCGGCAGACCTGGTTCAACGATTCCAGCGAATGTCTGGGGCTTCGGGGCCCGATCACCAACCGGCTCCCCTCAGCGGGGGTCCTAGCCATGCCCGATCTGGGCCTCGTGAGACGGGCTCCGAGGTCAGAGATTCCAGGATTCGGCAGGCGCCCACCGCAACGAGGACGCTCTCCCCCGTGCGCTGCCTGGCCCGACAGCAGGCTGCGCCGACCGAGAGAGTTCGACATTGGGGGTCCGCCCATGAGCGCAGGGCCTGCTGGGACGCAAGACCTAATTACGGCAGAAGGAAGCCATTCGTGGACACTCCCCAGCTCCCCCAAACTCAAAGTTGGTACGCGCGGGGAAGACTGCGGTCGAAGTGCAGCTCATTCAACCCACAGCCAAGAATGATCATGAGGGGCATTGACAGATAAGTGCGGCATGAGTGTTCGCTATGTTCTTCCGAGGCATTTTGGCGGCCAGCCCGGGGGGGAAATGAGACGGGGCGGGCCTTCTCAGAAGGCTCGGACGTCCCCCGGCCTTCTGAGAAGTCTTCCAAGCCTTACCCGAAGACATAGGACCTACTCCGAGACTGGAAGGCTTCTGAAAAGCCGCGCCGCCTTCTGAGACGCCAACCCTGGGCAGCGCACCACATAGCACGCCGACACCACTAGAAGAAGCAACACATACATAAACATAAACTTTTGACGCTCCGCGCGGATTTCTTGGATTCACGCTGGACCCCCCTCCCTGGCACGCGGAGCGCGCCTGGGGCGGCGCCGGAGGCGCCGCCGGGGGGGCCCAGGCGCGGATCCGAGAAATCCGCGCGGAGCGCCAAAAAATAATGTTTATGTTTGCTTGGTTTCTTCGGGGACGGACAGAATCCCCTTCAGTAAAACGTGGTTGTGAAAACGACCTCGGGCCCAAGCCTGGCGGGCGCAAGCCTTGAGAATGACGGCCGCGGCGCCCTCTGGAGAACCGAAAGCGGACAATCCACCAATCGACGCGTCAGGGTGGGAGGTCTGTCCACCCCCGATCCCTTCGAGCCGCGGCGAACCCGCGGCAAGCCCTGCGTCCCGCACCCACGCTGAAGTCGGGCGTGTCCCCCTACAGGGGCATTTTCGACGAAAGATAAAAGATACCCCACACATGCTCCCAACATTGCGAAAAACACTCAAACAAGGATCCCCAGACTATTTCTTGTCTGTTTTTTTTTTTGTTTCTTTTTTGCTATATTTGAATCGTTTCCCTGTAGAGGGACGGGCCCGCCTTCCACCCAGGCCGGGCAGACGAGGCCGCCGCGCGGCAGAGCCCCACGCCGGGGAGCCCGCCGCGCGTCCCAGCCAAAAAGAACAGGCGGCGCCCGTGGCCACCGGAGGCCGAGGCGCGCGCTCCTCGGGGGCGGGAGGCCGCGCGGCGGCGGCCGCGGCGCGGAGGCTTTTTGGATTTTCGCGGGTCGAGAGCGCACCTCGTCCGGTCGAAGCTAAGCTCAAGTCGGGCGCGTCCCCCTACAGGGGGATTGTCGACGAAAAATAAAACATACCCAAAGAATGCTCCAAAATGGTCAAAAGATACCCCCAACTAGTCCCCAGACTACGTCGTATTTGAGTCGAAGGGAAGCCCCTTCCCTTTGATCCCTCCCCCGCCGGGAGGGGGGGGGGGGGTAGCGGGGGGGTCCCGGGGGGGGGGCGCCACTCAGATACGACGCCCCCCCCGCGCCCAAGTACTGCAAGGCTGCCCAGACGGGGGGCCCGACGAGCCCTCGGCGACAGAGGCTCCCAGGAAGCCCCAAGATGCCCCCAAGAGGCCACCACGAGACCCCCAAGAGGCCCCCAGGAAGCCCCAAGAGGCCCCCCCCGCCACATACGAGAACGCATGGGTCGCCCTCCAGGGTCGGCGGCACCGGCCGTAAGGCCTTCGCAATAAAACATACCCAAAGAATGCTCCAAAATGGTCAAAAGATACCCCCAACTAGTCCCCAGACTATGTTTTGACTATTTCTGAATATTACCCCTGTAGAGGGACATGCCCGACTGAAAGCTAAGCGGGCCGTGCGAGGCTTGAATTCGGCAGAGAGGGGGGAGGAAGAGGGGGGCGCAGCCTCAGAACGAGGCCGGGAGGAGGCAAAGCCTCGGAATCACGCGGCGCGGAGGCACACGACGTCGCTGCCCCATCGGTCGGGCGCGTCCTCCCGCGGGCGGATCGTGGTCGAAACATCTGGAAGAATCAGAAAAAATACCAGAAACAGAATAGCCGAGCAGCGTCCCCGGACAATGTTTGTTTTGGCGATGTGCTATGTCTGAACAGTTGTCCCGTAGAGTTATGTTGGGCGTGTCCCCCTACAGGAGGATGTTCAACGAAAAATTTAAAAAAATACCCGCAAAATGCCCCACAAAGGTAAAACAATATCCGAAAAATGGTCCCCTGACTCTTTTTGGGCTATTGTTTGATTATGTTCAGGGTATATTTCTATTTTTCGTCGACACTCCCCCTGTAGGGGGACAGGCCCGACTTAACCGTAGGGAGGGGCAGGCCCGGCTCAGCGCTGCCGGGATGGCAAGGCCAGGGAGCGTCGGGCGCCGGGCACATGCCATGAGATGTCGGCCCTGGGGCGGCCGACGCGCGCACGCTAGCAGCATGTGCGGGTGATGCCGACCCGAAGCCCGAGGAATCGAGGCTCGCGAAATCGAAGCTCGAAGGATCGAGGTTCAGGGAATCGAGGGACCGAGGATCGAGGAATCGAGGCTCGAGGAATCGAGGAATCGGGAATCGAGGAATCGAGAATCGAACATCGAGGAATCGAGGTTCGAGGAATTCAAGGCTCGAGGAATCGAGGAAACGAGAATCGAGGAATCGAGATTCGAGGAATCGAGGCTCGAAAAATCGAGGCTCGAAGACTCAAAGGTCGAAGAATCTAGGAAACGGGAGTCGAGGAATCGAGGCACCGAACATCGAGGAATCGAGGTTCGAGGACTCGGGGATCGAGGAATCGATGAGACGAGAATCGAGGAATCGAGTTTCGAGGAATCGAGGCTCGAGACTCGGGGTTAGAGGAATCGAGGTTCAGGGAATCGAGGCTCGAGGAATCGGGAATCGAGGTTCGAGGAATCGAAATTCGGGGAATCGAGGTTCGAGGAATCGAGGCTCGAAAAATCGAGGCTCGAAGACTCAAAGGTCGAAGAATCTAGGAAACGGGAGTCGAGGAATCGAGGCACCGAACAT